GAAAACGCTCCAGATGTATGCTCCCATTCGACATTCCAGAGGAAGCACACAACAACGCCCAGCGTCCAAGGCGCGATTTTGTTGAAGGGGGAGTTTGCTCCTCTCAAAACGGGCAGTGAAAACGTCCGCGGTCTGGCCGAGAACATGTTGAAATGAGGAGCAGGGATTAGATACACACCGTTTCAGTCGCGGATAGTTAGGGTACGATGTAGGGGTTGGGGGGGGGGGGGGGAGGAGGCGTGGCACCGTTTCTTACGCGTTCCCTTCCCCCTTTGCGGCACTCCGTGGTGGCGGCCGTGACAGCAACAGTGGTTTCCAATGTTCCGGTAGCTCTTCAAGTTAGAGTTTACGAGAAAATTTGACCACCTGCGCGTCTTTTTTATTGCGGCCGATACCGTCGGCTGCCCTGCGATACTTCGTTTTTGTTGTTTTGGTTGTGTTTGGACCAAGAGTGCGCTGTAGAACACTGGCAACAACCCATTTTAAATTTCCCACCGTTATTTTGGTGTTCTCGCTTTGCGTGCTCTGGTGTCCAAAACATGTTACAACTGCTTCTGCAATGTGACTGAAAGCCGGAAGAGTATTTGTGAGACCACCAGAAGTGCTCTAACGGCGAAATGAGCGAGTGGGTTCACTTAGAAGCGACATTGAAAGCTAGGATTCGTTCTCTGTCGACCGCACTGCATAGGCTTCGTCAGTCCACATACTAGAGATGTTTCACCCTGTTTGCTGCAAGATTGCAATACAATTATCCGAAGGAGAGCTGGAATGTTCACGGTGTGTGGTATGGTTGTGAGGCACTGGGTGTATAGAGACGCCGCACCTCGGTTTTCGAATTTCAAACCGTTCGTACAACTCTCGTCAGTTGACGGTTCCTAGATCGCGAGGTGACTTCTTCCGAATTAAATAATATTTATTTTGGTATCACAATATGGAAGATTCCCAGCACCTATAATGTGAGCAGTAAGTACTCCTGCTTATGCTGCCGTGTTTTGTAAATCAGACAGAGCGAACGCTTGGATGACTTTTATCTAATACCCTTCAAGGTATTTTGTTTCCTTGCCTTGAACCTGGCCACTAATAGGATTCTTAAAAAGAAATATAACATTTTAGAACTACTGCACAGTTGTTCATAATTTGATCAAGATATGCAGCATTTATTTTGATATCGCCAACATTTTCATTCTCGATACCCCCCGGCACTGTTCATGGATCCAAGGTGCATTTCTTGTACAATATGCAAGTTTATAGACACATTATTGTGACATCAAGCAAATAGGTCTCCATATTTTATTCAATGATGTCAGGTGAAGGAAAGCTGGACGCCTTCAGAGAAGAATGATGGTTGCTTGTTGCGTTTTGAAACCTCTTTTTTACCCATCTTTATGTTTGGCTTTCTCTGATTGTAGGCCTTCATTGTAGACCTAAAGTGTCACATTTGGGACAAAGTGTTTTAGATTCAAGTAAAGCATGCATTTCGATAAAAGAACCGAAGATAAGCAGTCACAGCAAGTATGAAAGCAGCCTGGTTGAGAACAGACATCATAAACCTTGTCTAAAGGTCAGGGATGGACGGCATAAAGAAAACTGAACACATCTTTAAAACTTCGAATCTTTGTATCTTTGATATCCCTCCCCATGCTCCAGTGTCATAACGCGAGACTCACAGTTAATCCATAGACTAATAAATATTAAGAAAAGCTTTTGTATTCATCCACCGGCTCCGTATAATGCTACTCTCAACACCCTTTAATGTAAATTGCCGAGAAGGCATCCTTGATATCAAGCTCAGTAATTAGTAACCTATGGCAAGACCTCTAACACTCCAAATATTACTAAAAAACAAAAATAAACCACCAATTGCAAACATCTTTGACATACATTAATTGTTCCAGCATTGAAACTCATCAGAATAATTTTATCAAGTGATATAATCACATCTACAGGACGGTTACAGTACTATACACAATACTTGAAACAAATTATCAGAATAAAACAAGTCTTACGTAGTTTCTGAGCCAGCTGTGAATAAACTAACGAGCGACATCAACGCACCGGGCACACTAAATCATCAAAGTGCGCCTTCACGGGTCATGACACTAAAAAGAAATAGCCCACCATCTGAGACTGTTTTTCATTAGGTACAATGAGCTAGGCTCATCAATACACTGAAAACACTTGGCATATCCTTGTCACCTTCCAAAACTGGGCGTTCATTAACGGGCTTCCGTATTACCAGGACCAACATCCTCCGCCGATTGACTTCTTTGAAGCACCAATCCTTGCATCCATGCACTGGCCATTCCTTATTTGTCTGAAACTTGGAATTGTATATCGCATTCCCGCGTGATAATATGTGATCAATTTGGGCGATAGGGGCCTTCTGTTGCAACCCTGGTCACGCTATACGCGCTTGTGACTTAGAATTTCTTTGGGTACATAAACCGCAACAGTACGGTCGCACCTTGTAATGATGACCTGCTATGAAAAAATGCAGTTACCTGCCACGTATTTAGAGGCACAAGTCATCGGGTTCCTTTTTGAATGTTATGTACGCATGTATAGTGGTAATTTCAAAAGATTAGTGCAAGATGCCTTGGGTTAAGTAAAATGCCACAGGGATAAAATCAGCATATAATTAAAACTGCTCAGCTAAAATCACTTGTTTTTCCTGGAAGTTCTGACTACGACTGCAAGCTACACTGATTACTTGACCCTAGCCTTAAAGAACAGGTTGGTTAATCAGGTTGACTCAAAAAGTGTAGCTGAGTAAATGAAGGAGTAGGAACGTTTTGAGGACGCCTAGGAAGCAACAGTGCACATTAGACGAAATGATATCCACTTGTCTGATTTCCGCCTGCTACGAAGCTGTATCAGGTTTGGGCACATTACTGAAACTTGCTGAATGTTTTAAAACATCTTGAACAGCTCTACGTTCGAATGAAAAATACAGGAGCAACGTGGAAGTTTTTCAACTGTCTGATATTATCTCTAGTCATCGCGTGAATTTAGAGCGTGCTCGAACTCCTTTGTAATGCGCCCAGGCTGCATTGCACTCGAGCACCAGGAGTATCATGTCTACGGGCTTGTGCTTGCAGCTAAGCGTCATAAAGGAAGCGTACTCATACTGGAAGCAGGCCAACAAGGAGGCCCTTGTTAGGTGCATGAGCTCAAATCCAGATGTGCAACTACAAAAAAAAAAAAAAAGGTTAAAACAAGAAGTCACCGTTACGACGATTCTCGCATGTTTCGCGATATACTTATCTTATAAGATACTTCTGATAAGCACAAACCAGCCCTTGAGTCGCACTTCGCAGATATGACTCGCCGAGACGGTGACCTGGCCGATGTGAACAAAACCACAGGCAAATGCCTGTGCGTGATCACATGATGGGAAAAAAAACGAAACCAAACAAATGAGCTGCAATCAAAGTGCACATTTATCTAAACAGCACATTAGATGACAAGTATGTGCCCTTTGTCTCGCATAAAATAAAGTTGTAAATGTCCAACAACACACGCGTCTATCATGTCCGCCTCCATGCTGTGGCGAATTCCCTTTCCCTCCTTCTTCCCCCTGGTACGGTGCCCGGAACACATCTCCGCCTGACGTCTTTCCTGTACCATTCCGCCCTTGAATCGAAAGTGGTCCCAAAGTGGCGACAAGTGACGTATCAAAAACCTGGGTGTCTTGCCATCGGATGGCGAAACGTACAAGCGAACGTGAGTGTCGCTGACGTTACGGCGTCCCGACTCCTGGCTGCCCAAAGCTTCCGTGGGCTGTCGAGCTGGAGAGCGACCTGGAGCAAAACAGGCGTCTGAAGAGAATATAATAGAATAGTTTATTTCAGATATACATGCGTCATACATACGTCTTGGGGGCTGCAGCAAAAGAAGGCAAAAAAGCCCTCTGACGAGGCCGCCAGCCCCTCCCCCGCCCCCCCCCCCCCTCCTTCCCGCTATAGCAGTCAACAGAAACAGCATACAATTTTAGCCGCATCCATCGCCGCTTCTATGATGCCGCCAGGATCGCTGCCGGCGACAGCGTGACACTTCCTATGACGTCATCGCGCGAAAATCGACGGACTACTTTTTTAACGTGGTTGGCAGCCAGTCGGAGACGCGTTCCAGCCTCCAGGTACCATCCTAGGTAGTGCGAATATTAGCTTCTCACCGAGTTATCCTTGAGAGCGTAACTGAGAGTAAGTGAGAGCATAAGAAAGGCAGGGCGTTGCCGGATGCGTTGACGCTTCTTATTTCATGATTCGTTATTTTCTGTTCTTATCTGCTAGTGCCCCGATCTTGTTGACTGTGGAGCACTAATAACATGTTCCAAATTCGCAGCGTACTTTCTTCCATAATTGAGTTGTCAGTTACTATTGTAATGTAGTAGACTTGACAATGGCGGAACGGCGACAACGCCTACTTTTACATAATAATTTTCGTAACTCCACCGGTATTTATCAATCTAAATATATTTTCAGGACGCGCTAGTCTTGGGCGCAAGAGACACGATCAAAAGGAAGAAATGTCGTTTGTTCAAATGCGGAACCGACGTATTCCAATCTTATCTTTTTTCGGGATCTGTCGAGACGAGGACAGCTTGCCCAATGACAAAATAAAAATTGAATTTTTGATGTATTTCTTTTTTTTTTTTTTAAGCTGCAAGTTTATATGTAACCTTTTATACTACTGTAATAACTCTATTTCTAAGCTCATTGCGTTTTATCTGTGATAAACTTATACTCTGATGTAAATATAGTTCATGCTTTGTTTATGCGTCTCCTTCTATAACGCCTAGATTATCCTAATAACTGCAATATAAGAATAACGTAGCACATGTCCCTTATCATCGGTACCGTTTATGTAACCTGTATCATCATTAATTGTCTTCGGGCAGGAAGTGCATTACCAAAGGGTGTCTTCTTTCATTTTCGCTAACTGGGCGTCTGCCCAAAGAAGCGTTCTGCGCTGACTGCTCGCGTATCTTGGCGCCCCAGGTGCAGACGGAGCTGCGCAAGTTGTTCCAGAGATGGCGCTGCGACCGTCGCGGTCCGGGCTGCGGGGACAAGCAGCTGCAGCACCGGCACTCGCTCTTCACCCAGTCGGTCACTTTCCTCAGCAGAGGTCGGAGTTCCATCCAATCGTTGCATTCCGGTGAGCACCGCGCCAACGAGGTAGAGGGGCTTAGAGTGATAAACCGGAAGTTCGGAAGTGGCACCCCCCCGGTTGCCGCCATGTTTTACGCAAATGTGACCACTCGTCACGTGACCTCCCAAGAGCAGTGACGTCACAGGTAAGATGGCAGCGCCCAGAGCTGATGGATGCGAGTTTGTTCGGTGCGCGGCAGCCGTGATGTGCAGCTGCTTTCCGATGATTTCGGGCTTTTTCGTGCTCGCTGACGCAGGAATAATGTGAAGATATGAAGGAATGAGACGTTATACCCTTTTTGCGCAAGATCGCTCTGGATCATCTGGATATTGACACCCGTGAGACAGCATCAGCCGTGTCGCTGTACCGGTGCTCGGATTCGGGATCTGTTCGAGGATCGGTAGAACTTTGAGTGCTTTTAGCATGAAATTTTCGCATTCTCTTAGCTTTGTTTGAACGTGGGAATGACTGAGAATCGACGCGAAATGTGTGCGTCGGATATAGGGGCTAGGGGAATTTGTTTCAGCCCTAGGTAACTGCATAATCACAGCAACTTTTAGCGAGGAAACTCCTGCGATCTTTAACCCTTTGTGCTAATCGACGATTCTACATTCGATCGCTTTTCTTCCTTTTTGGTGAGTGCGAAGTGCACACTTATTTTCAGTTACGAGCATGACGTCTTATTGAGTGTGGGGATGAATAAATCGTTGCAGGCACTTGCTTCAAAGTTGTTTGACTTGCAATAAGAACAACTCTTTTGGTCATGTTAAACATCAAAACGTAGAAGGGACAGAAAATACACAGGACGACGTCTGAGCCTGAGACATCGTCCTGTCTATTTTCTGTCCCTTCTACGTTTTGCTGTTCATTTTCTACCCCACTCTGAAGTTAATTCAACATGGTTAATATTCACCAGCTCGCCTGCACCCTTGCGATTTTTTTTAATGTTTTACTGTTTTGGTGTATGCATAGATTAACTGCACCTTTTTCTCTTTCGTAGGATTTATTGCAGCAATACTTTTTTTCATCAAGAGTGCATTGTATTAGTCGTTCAATTATTTACTTGTTCTAATTACCTGGATAAGATGATTCATATTTGTGTTCATCTCTTGCCTGAAGAGCAGTCTTGTTGAAAAACGTTGACCATTCCTTTCGGTTTCTTCAATAGACTTTTTTGAAAAGTGTGGGTTGCCTATACTTTGTATCATTGTAACCTGGAAAAGGGTAACCGCCACAACCCTCTCGAGCCAATCAGAGAGACAGAGCGAAGGTGCGTGACAAATCTGTGCAGACGAGCACTTTGAATGACACATTGTCATGTGCCTCTCTCAAACGTGCATATTGGCTCACCGAGACTGTAGCCTTTACCGTTTGCCAAAATTTGATGAAACAAATTACAGTAGCTACTACTCTAATTACCCCAGGCTTTCATACTTTGGTCATTTGTTCGACAAGAATGTAATGTCCGCCATCACTGTGAACTCGGCTCAGCACCTATTGGACTTGAATGCTGCATTAGCATTCGACGTGAACTGGGGCCCATTTGTGTGCTTTACACGAAAAAAAAAATGGTAACAGTGTGTTGCTTGATGGGGTTCTGCAAAGGGTCTATTGTGTCATACATATAGGAAGTGTCCTGCTATATAACAATGCATCAACACATATTTTTAAAGTATATGCTCAGAGGTGTGTTTATTTTTGCAATTAACAAGTTACAGCTGTGTGCTTTAATGTTATTATCATGTGTGTAGTTTTAAGTATCCTCTCTGCAATGCCTACGAAGGCCCCTGAAGGGATAAATTAATAAATAACATTTTCACATCACTGGAGTTGGTTTTTGGATGTGCCACATGTTCAGGAAAAGTGGAATAGGTGCAGCCCAATGCAACAAGTCTGCCCGTCTGGTATGTCCCATTAATTAATATTGAAGGGTCAGAGATGCGAGTGTCCTCAAAAGGACCTGCGCGTGCGGTGAACACAATTCTTGGTGTATAAACTCGAGGTGTAAAGGCAAGCGGAAATATGTTTATCTGGTTAGTGTATCAAATATGTTTATTTCCACTGGATTACATAATTATTGATTCTTAGTTAATGGTTCCAGAACGAGTTCTTTCTGCGACAGTCTCCTGTCAGGCGTTGAGTTGTAACACCTGGGGACCTTGTTGTGGGATGACTCTCCTGGCACGTCGGTGTTCAGTTTGGTCGAGTAGCAACTTTGACCGACTCATGTCGTCTTGTAATCATACGTCATGTGCGGCCACTGACATCTGATGCACTGAAGCTGCAGGGCTGGCTTCTAATCCGCAAAATTTTCCTGGTAGTTTTCTGCATCAATGTAGCAAGCTCGGGCATGTATTGGTTATGTGGCTGTGCCTTTTGCTGTAACGTTGACTTGATAGCTGGCCACAATGTTTGTTTGCTATCAAGCCATTTCACTTCCATTTCGTAATGGAGATTCATTCTGGATCCCACGACCACTGCCACTTGTGTAAGTCTTGTGTGGCAAAGTGAAGTCTCGTGATGCTTGCAGTCCACTTTTGAGAGCAACCAACCATTCTATTTCTTTAAGTCACTGAGCGGCATTCTCCGTCAAAGTTGGAAATTGTGTGCTTCGTGGCGTGGACACGGATAATTAGTGTCAGAAAATTATTAGGTATTGTCCTTGAACGATAACAGACACCAGATCAACTCTCCTTCATTGCCGCTCACCTGCTTTGTCGTGCTTATCTCCCGTCCAGATGAAGTAGATCACGAGCTTCGGGGTAATGTCGGCACCAGGGACAAAGACCGCCGAAGATAATCCTCAATCTTCCGCGGACACTCGTCGAGACGTGGTCGAGGGTCGTTCGGCATGAACCCTTGCAAGCCAATTCATTGGTACGGGCACCTCCAGTAGAGAAGGTCGGCCACATGCAGTGGTAGCAGAGTGGTTTTCGGTTGGCCATTCGCAGTACCTCCGTCTTCGTCAGTGTACTTTGTTCAGCGCGGACCTACACTGGTTCTTTCCGATGTCGGGAATGCTTCAGCGTTGGGGTATCTCGTTGAATTGGCATTGAATAGTAACAGGTAGCCGGTGCTGGTCGTTGTGACTTTGTGGCATAGGTCGCCCTCGGTTCGTCAGATGCCACTTCGCTCGAAGAAGTCTCCAGTTGAAATGCCTGTCGAACTTCTTCTGAAACAATCTTGGCGATCAAAATAAAAGCCGGGCAACTGATGGCAGGAACTAGCTTCCTTATCTCCTCCCGGACACCGTTGTGGATGATGTCACGTATGCCTGGGGGGCTGGCATCGAAGTTGCAGCTGGATGACTCGAGAGTCGAGACGCTGGGGAGTTGTTGATAGTGACAGGCTCGGGCCTGCAATGTATACATTCAACGTTGGAAGCCTCATTGATATGAACCCTTCGACTGTTGTCGTGAGGTTGCAGACAAGGCTGCCGGAGGTGTTGTCCCTCGCATGAGGGACATGGGATTCTTAGCTTCTTGTCTTCTGTAGCATCAGGGTTGGCGTGGGTGCTCGATCAGAGGCAAAACATCCTCCACGAAGGTGGTGACGCTCTTCTTGGGGCCGTGTCCTGGACAGAATCAGGAATTCGACTCTCTCTCGTCAACGTTGGCCGATGAACGTGCACTTCAGCTCGATCTTGCAAACTTCCCACGACTTTAAGGAGGATTCGTGGTTCTCAAACCAGTGCCTCGCAGTTTCTTCCACGAGAAATATAGTTTCTGCAGGAGCTGGTTGTCCATCTACCCACTGTGGCGGGCGACACGGTCATATTGTTCAATCCAGCCCTCAACATCTTATGCACCTTGCGTGAAAGGGCATCAGAGTATGATGTTCGACGGGCATGCAAACGATGGTGGGAGCGGACGTGGTTTGCCGCTACAGGTTTGTCATTGTTGGCTTAGTCAGCTTCGGTTTTTCTGGCAAAAGACCTAGATCCGGTGGTTCTTGCTGGTAGCAGCGACTGGCTTGGATTTCAAGTTTTTCGTGGTGTATTTCCGAGTTTCGTCCTTGTGGTACTCGCTCGTCTTGCGGTTTTTCTGCCGGGCTGGGGATCGGACTTGGTTCACGGCTCGCCGGGGGTTTAAGACTCGGGATAATGTGCCACCCGTGTCTTGTTATCGGGCAACTCGGCTAAGGAGCCGCCAGGGTCCACGCAGAGTGAAGGGCTATCGGTAAAGTGCGCAGCACCTCAACCAGAACATACAATGACAGCTGAGCATGGCCCTGGAACATTCCAGAATAGTAAATATTGATAGAAAATAGGAGTGGAGCAAGCATCCGTGACAATATAACAAAACAGACAGAAAAGAGCCTATCCTGACCACTAAAGAAGCTGCATTGCTTTAGTGGCATTCTGTCCGAATAAATCCTCTCCTTTGGGGTCTGGCGACTGCCGTGGACGAGCTGAACTGAAATCGATGCGGGACCACTTTTCTGGTAATGAGCCGCTGCAGACTGCAGTCGCAAAGCGGCGTGAACGGGTGGACTGGGTAGGTAGCACGCGCGATGAAATGCCCCTACAGCTTGCAATTCGTGTAACGAGTGTTGATGAAACTTTGGTGTCGACGAAACGTGCGACAGACCAGCGGAATCAATACGAACTGCAACACCTGTGCTCCGTGAAAGTGGACGTCTACGCCAGAACAATTAAGTAGCCAGCACAGCATCACCTAAAGCACGGCACAGGAACTACCAGCTTGAAGGCAGCTCTTCGGCGCGCCGCACACCTGTGCTCCGTGAAAGTGCACGTCTACGCCGGAACAATTTGAGAAGACAGTATCATTTAGCACGGCACGGGAACTAAAAGCGGCAAGGCAGCTCTCCGGTGCACCGCACAACCAAAGTGAGCCTTCGGTCATTTGAACGAAGCGGCACCACGATTGCACACACCCAAGCACGACTCACGCAATTTCCGTCGCTAAACTGTGTATCCAAATATATTGCACACGCTTTACTGCAGATCTCGAAGGTTCCGATGGTCAACGAGAGCACAGAAATGT